AAAATTAATAATCGCATGTAAGTATTTTTTTTATGTATAATTTATAACATTTTATAAATTATACAGCAATAAAATTTGGAGGAAAAAAAGTTTCTAGGTAAACAGAGCCTGCGCTGTAAATCCACAAAGACATTATCACATCAATAGAGCTTAAGCAGACATAATATCACCTACCATATAGTATGAAGAAAATATAGAATATACATGCAAAACTTTTAAGAGTAATATAAGTTACTCAGTCACACAGACAATAATTAGGAATAGTGAAAACTGCATCATGGCTGCATATTAAGGAAAATTTTATATATATATTGTATTTTTTTTATATATTTACATAAAAGCTTTTAAGAAAAAGTTATATATTTTAAGTTATAAGCAGAAAATAAAATCAAGCAACATTGTTATCAAAAAATTATTAAAGCAAAATAAACAATCAAATTGTAAATTATATTGTCAGAATATTTATTCATATCGCAATAAATTAAACCTAATGAGTTAGAAAAGCGCATATATGACATAAAAACATGACACACTCAGTTTTCTCACTTAAAGAAAAAATACAGCAAAAAGCTTTTAATAGATAAAGCTTAAAATTATATTATATTATGCTTGAACTGATCAGAATAACTTGGGAAATTATTTCTAAAGAATTATATTTAATTGCCAAGCATAAAACAATCTTAAAAGCAAAAATTTTCAGTAGCGTAATTATAAATTTGTTTTAATTTTTTAAACAAATTAAAAAGCTTGCTTTTTTATTTTATTTGCAAAACTAAAAATGTTTAAATAATTTATTTTAATTTTATCTAAATATTTCATTAACGAACAAATGTCTATAATTTTAATATAAACATTTTCATTCTTATTTAAATTACTTTTAATATAGCAAAATATAACAAATACTAATATAACAAATGCAGTATCATTTATTTTTATTAATAATTTATAAAAATAATTACGCCATTGAGTAAGGGACTGAGAATAAAAAGCAAAGTAAAAAAATATAATCAGCCTTGGTGCGAAAACTGACGGTAGTGGGACATGTAACGTGGTTTCACACATGCTATTGAGTAGGAAGACATACGGGTCCATATACTCCAGGTAAAAATTATGAAATAGACTCCTGCAACCAAACGGGTTGTCCCATTATTTCTTTATATCATGCAGTATAGAATATGTACACTAATATATAAATCTTTCATCTGTGCTTTGTAGAAATATGTCATTTAGAAGTGATAGCTCGTTTGAATATAAATGACATCAGTTATTATTTGTCGCTCAATAAAGAATTTAAAATATGATAATCCAAACTTCTAATTATTTTTCATAACAAAGAAAGTTAGATACTAATAAAGTCTTATGCTAATAAACATCACTTGATTAGAGAGGAAAAGAGAGTTATATTAAATACAATTATAAAATTATAAAATAAATAAATACTAATATATTATAAAATTATATAATAAATAAATACTAATAAATTTTTGACCTTCACAATGATTCAATAATCATTTATAAAAGGATCATTAAACATAATATTATCAAATGCAATAAGTTTGTATGAATAAATAAAATCGTATTATTTCTAATATTCGACACTCATTTACAAGTTTATTAATTTTAGCAATAAAAAATTTTATTTACAATTGCATTAGATAAAAATTTTAAGTATAATAAATTACCATCATATTATTTCTACATTTCAAATATTTCTTGAGCGAAAAATGTAAGATTTTTATTTATATTCGGATAACATATGTCTATAGATAATTAAATTTTCTATATTAATATAATTTAACAATCACTTAACTACAAGAAATAAAAAAAGTCAATCCTCACATATCCTCACATATCTTTGGTAATATTTGAAAAATATATCCCATAAAAAGAACAAATTTTTCTATAAAATATTTTGCCACAGTCATTTTAATATATATAAAACTATAACTTACTATTATATTATTTGCTATATTACTATTATCTTATTTAAATATGATAGTAAGATAACAATATACAAACTAGCAAAGAGTAAATATGTCAAAGTATAATATGTCAAATATACTCACTTAATCGTTTTTTTCAATGTTCCTGATGCCACGTCACTAGTACCAACTTCAAGCTGATGCGAATCATATCTAATGAGTAATGTATCCTAAAACGTAAAACAAAAAAAATAGGATAATTATTGTTATATATTGTAGAATAATAATTAATAGTATAATATTTAAAACATAATCTGCTAGTAAATACAAGCAGAAATTATAGTAGACATCAAGTTTGTATTGCAAATCCACTTATGTTTGAATCAGCATGCATGTCAATATATATTGAGGATATAGAAATCGAGTAGATATTGTCAAATACAAAGTGACAAACTTTACTACATTGCTGCAATATTTTATCAATTTACATATAATAAGTTATGTATTAAATTTAATTTTTTTGTTGACAAGATTTACAAATGCTTGGCAAAATTTTTTGATAAACTGGTTATTTAAAAATCTATGTATTTGCATAAATAATGTTGCAAATAAATGTTTGTATGAGCGCGCATGTAACTTACAGCATCAGCTACACGGATAGTAAGAGCCATCTGCCTACACAAAGTTTGCAAATAATTCGTTTTGTTTACTTCTTCATCAGTAATAATAAACGAAAAGAATTTTTCTTTCAGTTCCTGAGTACCTCGTACTACGAGTGCAAATAGTTTATGACATCCTGAAAGAATTACACAATTAATTGGAATTTTTTTTATTTTATAAAGAACGCATGCCTTTTATGTATAATGTTTACATACCATCCGTTTCTCGTATATCCACTACTTTTCTTATAGTACTTAATGATAACATTTTGATATGCTTGTATGGCTTTCCTTGACTTAATTTAATCGATTGTAAACCATTTATAGTATTAGGGCTCTTTAATGAATTAAAGGCTTTCGATCTTTTCTTGCATATTTCGAGAGTATCGGTAAACAGGAACAATACTAAATGATCACCTCGTCCGCTAAGACCCCCCTCCGTAAATTCCATCACATCACATTTACTGATAAACGATCTATGCGAGGAAACTAAGTGCGGTGGACAATTGTCAATCTCATTAAAGATATCAAATATTGCTAATTGGCGTTCTGTTTTCCGTTTATCCTCGTTTATGTACGTCATTACTTTTTTAACACAACTAATCGAAGCTTCCAACGCGCTGTAGTCCGGATTACTTTTGTCAGTATGCTTAAGAATATCTATAAATAAAAATATTTTATTATTTCAAAAATTTAAATAAAAATAAAGAATTAATATTTACAGTAATTAATCTTACCGCTTAACAATAAACTAATACTAGGTAACCTTTGTATTGGTTTAATTAACAGTTCTTTTAAACTTTGTCTACCGCATTCCGGTATTGTCTGGCAATTTTTTAAAAAGGCATGAAATCGTGGCTTATTTTGATCACATTCTTCCAACATTTGTTTTGTATTTTCGAAAAAATTAACATATGGAGGATATGCTTTAACCAAATCTGGTTCAAACTTCAAAAATATTTTGCCAATACTAATATCTTCTGTCCAATGAGCGGCACTACAACGCAGTGCCTCCAATAATTGCTTGTGAACGTCGTAGATAGGAGGGAAATTACCAAATATGATTTTAACTTCAGTGCTATTTAATAATTCCCTCCCACTGCCTATAAGATTTTCTAATGGCAATTTGAATAGCTATAATCAATAAATATAAATTATTAAAACTTGAAACATTAAATGATATGAAATGATTCATTTTTTTATGTTTTATATAATGAATACATACCATCATAATTGTGTTGAGAATACCTACATAATTGGCCTCAGTTTCTACTAATTCAAGAAATACTTTATGACGTTGTGACAAGTTTTCTTTAATTTTCGGTAAATTTTCTGTATCAATAGCTTCTACCTCGGAGATACCTAATAGCAAGAAATTATTTTAATATTTTACCATAACATCCCATTGTATTAATACAATATCAAAGAAATAAAATAAATTTTTTGTTAATTTTATATGTTAATTGTTATATATTGCAATAAAAATTATAAAATTATAAAAATTATAAATTATAAAAATAACATTAGATACCATCTAAAAATTGTTTGTCAGGACTTGCTGTGCAATCCAGAAAGCTTCCACTGACGCTGGCTGGTGAATCCGCTCCATTTTGTAACAAATTAGATAATGGACCGCCTAACCAACAGGGATGTTTTGCCAATGCTACATTTTGCGATATAATTTGTTGACTGTCTCGTCTACTCGTCGCAGTAGGGGACAGAACCGTTTCTAGATACTAAATAGTAAGTCTAGATATTAAACGATAATTAGAATATTTAAAAAGTTTATTATTATTAACTTACATGTTCAAATAGATATTCTTTTTCATCAGCAGCTGCCTCATTCTGTACAGACGTCCAAAACCATCCAGTTTTGACTATGAAAGCAGATACTGAAACTAGATTTGGTAGTACATTTACATTGGACTCATCTACAACCTGTAATAAAAAAATATTAATAAAAAATATTAATATTAATATTATATTTTGTTATGTCAAATTATTCATAGACATTCACATATTATCTACTTCTTCTTTTTTTGTTAAATATTAACTAATATAAGAGATTCACTATCATAAATTACTTATTATTATATTATTTTAAGTGTACTTCATATTTCTATGATTACAAATAAAATTAAAAGTAAACTTTCAAAAGTAAATTGTAAATAAATTTTCATTTAAACAATATGGATGTCATATTATAATTTTCATTAGATTACAATAAACAACATACAGGACAGTAATTTGACACACAATTTTAGATTTTCTACATAATATACATATCAGAAATTTTTAAGGGACAATTACATGTATTATACATACACCATATATTGATATTTTCTATGAATATAAATTCTAGATTCTAGAGAAATACAGGATATGTTATATGAACATAAATGAGCAAATTATTTGTATTGCTAACATTTGTTAATAAATTTAATGTACATACTTGTATATCTGCATGTATCTCTCACTCAAGTTAACAGATACCACATGCCTTTATTTTTCCAATATCCTGTATGATTATAACTACTAAAACTATTTTATTTTATACAGAAAATTACCAAACCTTATAACACAAACAAAAAAAAAAATTGAAAATAAGTACCACAAATGATTTGTCCTGTGGTTTATCCTTCTTCAAATCTGTGCATTCGATTTTTGTGTTTGATGTAGATAGTACATTGTTATCTTTTCCATCAAATATAGATGTATTTCTTAAATTATGTTTAGTGTTTAAAGTCTTTGTAGGTGTCGGAAAGAACTTTGACAAGGATGAATATTTTTTTTTCGAAAGGATTTTCTCAGGAGGAGAATAGCATGAATCGATGGAAATATCTTGCTCGTTATTATAAAATGTTGGACAAAAAGAAAAATGGCTGATTTTTGAAAAAATAGATGTATGTGATTGAGATAATTGCTTATTCTTTCCACTTAGAGCATTCTGCAAAAACGTATCGTTATATTGTTCTTCGTTATGCTTCGATATATTCGGATACGAGCGCGTCTTCATAAATTTATATTTTTTTTCGAGCGTTGCCAGCTTATGAACAAATGTACAAGAACTAGTTTTTCTCCATTTTACGTATCTTTTGGAAATTATTTTAGTTTTTGAAGTATTATTCTGTATATAATGAATATTTTTACGATATCTTAAAGATAATGCATTATTATTTGTTGGTGATATATAAGCATTATTTTTTTCATACAATGATGAATTTAAATCGTCTGTTTTATTAAGATTTGCTGTAATTTCACTAATAGAATTTTTATTATCGAATAAAGAGCTTTCAGAAACATGGAATTTAACGTTTTTGTTGTTCGTCATTGTTAGAATTGAATTTTTATTTGGCATAGAAAATACAGACGACAGATTAGATAATCTAGAGATATCGATACCAGAATCAGTTTGTTCTGTGTAAGAATCAAATAAACTTCCAGATTTAATAACTGAATTTTGCAAATCGGAACAATTATCATTCACATTAATAACGGAATCTTGACTAATACTAGACATAAGATCATTCCACTGATTATTACGCTCTATATTATATGAATCTAATGAATTATTTTTTAACGAAAAATATCCCGATACATTACTATCATCTTTCATTGTATTATAAGTCGCGTTTGAATAAGGATTGCTTAAAAAAGAGGATTCTGGTTTATAGTTTATCAAGGAAAGTGGGCTACGATTGGATGTATTTTTAAGATAAAAGTTCACATTGTTGGTTCTCTCGTAGAAAAGACCGGGTACATCTACCACCTAAAGCATGTGTATTTATGTATGTGTAGGTGTTGATTTATATCTGATATATATTATCATAAATATTTTAATATAAAAGAATTTATAAATATAACGTAAAAAATATATTATTTACTTACAACATGAGTACAATTTGGATCGTCAATCTCAGTAGCTTCACCACCTTGTTGCTCCAAAACCTCGCACATGTGTTTCTTTTCTTCTTCAGGAAATCCAAAGAAACACACTTTTGCTCCATAGAATGGTTTCAGTTTATAAGTTGTTATCTAGAATTCAATTTAAATATGCTTTTAGGAAAATCTTTATATTTATTACATTATTATTACAGCCGAATGAGAACACTATGCTGTTTGGTTATCACTTCACGCTCAGAGATAACGATAGAGAGATAGAAAATATAAGGCAGATTCTGCATTGATATATATATATATATATATATACTTCTCTTTTTCTCTTTATTATTATCTTGTTTCATCAATTCAGTGGTACTCAAACAATTAAATACACTATATTAGTACCTTGATTTAGATTTTATATATTTTAAGCACGATAAAATAATTATAAATATTATAAATGAGAAATTATTTTTTAGAGTAAATAAAGTTGTAGAGGTTATTTAATAACATTTACCAATTCCTCATTGGATGCGGTAGAGGAGATATCATCTTTGGCATTCCATAATGCTATTACCCACTCTGTTGACATGATAGGCAATCCGTATGTATCAGCGTATCTATACTTCTCTCCACTGCAATGATTTGCAATAAGATGCGTCACTTTCATACCCACCTCTTTTCGAATGCTACCTCCCATATTAAGAACCATATTAGCTAATTTGCGCTGTTAAAAAATAGATTATGTTGCATAAATATTTGAAATATATGTGTATCAAGCATTCAAATGTTTAACATTATAGAAATCATAGAATAATATACATAATGAACTAACCAATTCATCCTCTCTAGTTCGGAAACCACTAAATAGCACTATCTTGCCTACCATAGCTTGTGTGTACATTGGTCTTTTAATATTAGGCAATTCTTTCTTCTCTGCTGCCACCAGTTGCAACAATGCTGTAGGCCCCAGCACTCTAAAAGGACACAGAAGTTAAACTTTTTTAGAACTTTTTTTTTATTTCCAAAATTGGAAATATACATTTTCGTTATTTTGTATATTATAAAAGTGTCATATCTTATATATGTACAAACCTGTGAGCACTCTTGCATAAAACATCATATTCTGGCCCTTCAAATTGCTTGAGTACAAAGTAAGTATTATAGGTAGTATCTTCAACATATTCCATGCCAGTTTCAGACATAAGTACAGGCACATTGAATTGTTGAGCAGCAGCATTAAGCATAGCATCATTGCAGGTTGTACCAACTAAACATATCCTTTTCTTGCGTTGTGCTATAAAAGTTGACAAACAAATAATCGTTTCACTATTTTTCTTGTTATTTCTATTGGTTATAATGATCACCTTTGTTAATTATATTGTTACATCAGGATTAATCGGGAAAAAAAACTTTTAATAAAAAACATATTGGATAAAACAATTTGATTACTTAAAACAAATATTTAAAAAATTAAAATATAAGAATTGTATATATTATTTCGTAACACTAATGTTTATATAATATTTACAGTTAGTTTTTTTTAAATCAAATTAAAATTAATGATCTATAAAATTCACATTAAAAGTTGCATGAACAAAAAATTAGCTTAATTAAAAATAATGTTAAAATTAAAAAACAATTTTAAAAGACATTATTTATATTAAATTAAAAGTCATAATTTTTTAAAATTACATTATTTTAAGTGATAAAGCAATTATAATAAGGGACAAAAATCTCAACTTGAAAAAAAATTAAAAAAATTACTATTTAAATAGTATTATGCTAGTATTATAATAGTATTATACTAGTAGTATACTATTTAAATAGTATTTTAAAATATAACTAATTAGAGAGTTAATTTATTTTTGAATCAGTTAAGTTAAAGATTACTAACTTTTTAACTCTATTATTTAATTTTTAGCTGATTATTATAGTATCCAAATTATCCAAATTTAATAATACATGAAACGTATATCAATAATAATACAAATAATTAAAGATTTTATTTTAATTTCTTAGCCTAATAATTAAGTAATTAAATATATATATATATATATATATATATATATATATAAATAATTGCAAAACAATGTTGTTAGATGAAGAAGGTAACTAAGGGCGAGGATTACAGTTTTTTCAACAGTTTGGATTACAGTGATAGAAATTTCGCATTTATACATTCGTGCACATGCGTTATATGCGCACACGTGTATAAATAAGGAATTCTCGTACACTAATAAACTACTACGAGTGCCGCCCAAAGTTTCCGCCAGAAAGATTTGTTAGAAAACGCTATTTTTAGTCGTGTCAGCGTTCCTGTAAAATTCAAACATTGTTATACACAGTACACAAGCTCTATCTCGTATCATAGGCAACGGGAAGTCGCATATACATGTATGTATACATCTGTATGCGCCATTCACGTGCTCAGCGTAAGATAATTAACTGGCGAAAAGCACAAAGGACAGAAAGAGAAAGAAAGATATAGAGAGCGAGCGAGAAAGAGACAGAAAAGTAGAACGAGAGGGAGATAACAGACGGGGGACAGAAGGATCATGAAATTATCGCGAAAAATAGCCTTATAATTTTCAAAGAATCTCGTAAGGACATACAGAGCTCATTTATTCTCATACAATAATTTTTTGAGAATTCAGCCGACTTTGTGAGAGATAAATTTAACGGACGAATATAAGAATAGAAAAACCTTAATTTTCTTCCCCCTTGTCTTCCCTCCCCTTTTTTTTAAATGGAACATTCTATCCACAATGATATCGCGATATTAATTGTGGTACAACGGACTCGAGAGTCGTGCAAATTTGATATATTTTGATTTGAAAGTGAAAGAGAGAGAACGACGCGGATCGGTCCGTTGGGCAAGTATATACACAAGCTTCCGCGGATCTGTTTTCTGCAGGTACGCGCCAAGGTTTCCGGTCGACACGCACACACCGACGCGAGATCCTCGAGATCGGTTCCGCGGGAGGAGGAATTCAAAATTGCGCGAGAGTAACGGAGAAGATTCGCCGAGACTCTCGCGCGAGCGCAGGCAAGCGAGAGAGAGAGAGAGAGAGAGAGAGAGAGAGACGAGGGCGACGACGACGTCGACGACGACGACGACGAGAGAGAGAGAGAGAGAGAGAGAGAGAGAGAGAGAGAGAGAGACGACGCGACGACGACGTACGTCTCGTCCGTCCGTCCGTCCGTCGTCGTACCGTACCGTACCGTACGTATTGTTACTTTCGTTTTCCTTTCTTTCTTCTCTCTCTCTCTCTCTCTCTTTTTAACGTTGACAGATTCCCGCTTACCTTTGGTTGACTCCGCACTATTTATATCGCCGATACTGCTGTGGACGCTACGCTCTTCCATCTTGGCCCGTACGTTACAACATCGGCCCGCTCTCTCCTTTGTAACGTGCAGTCTTGCCGATCGTGTCCTCCCGTCTCCGACGTGCTACGACACTCGTCCGTCCTGTCGCCGATCATTTATTCAAGAGCTCCTCCTTATCGCGCGGGCGACAGCCGCGAGATCCTCCGCACCAACCTCGTGTACAACATGAACGTCACGCGGCCGCGACTCCGCGCGCACGCACACACACTTCGTAGTACGTATTATCTTAAAATACTGACACCCTCTCCCGAAATCGCACAAGCAGAACACGGCAATCAGCGGCGTCGACGGTAACCATCGACCAACGGCACCAAGCACGAGATATTTCGCCTCGTCCTTCACTCCGCGTATGTCGTGTGTGTTGTCGACCCCACCACCGAGGCTTTTTCGTTGAGAGTTGAGATCGCCGAAATCGCATTATCTCTCTTTCTCTTCGTGCGCCTGCGCATCACGTTTGCTTTTTCTGTCTGAACCGCGTAGTAACGTAAGCTGCAGTTAAGCTATGAGTTGAGTGGCGCCCGATTGCCTCAGTGGTTGCCGATTGGTCGATTAGATCTTTGGTATTTGTTGTTAAGTTTGGACAAATTGCGATTGATCAATTCCAATAGAATCGGCCGATTGAGTTAACCGGAATTGATGAAAGTGGCCTTTAAAAGAACAAACCTACTGTGAAAATGCCTAGGGAGTTTTACAAAATTACATCGCTCTATGGCGTAGTCTATCAAGATATTTATGTATCATATGCTTGTTGAAAATTTCCTAGAATTCAAGTTTAAATGTTTTCACAATTGAAAATCAATATTAGGAGAAAATATTAGGAGAAAATAATCAAGACATCTAATGCGATAAAATATTTTATAAGTGCCTAATTTTGTAAATATTTTTATATTTCATTTATTTCTTACATTTGCAATACAAAATACAACAAAATTTTGCGATCTATGAGCCTAAAAGTATCTGCACATTTTTGTACATATCATTACTTACACGTAACATTGCATATCAAGTTGCCATTCAAGTAAAACTCAAATCGTGATATATTTAATTACAATTAGATTAAAATTGAGTAAAATTGAATTGCATGTCTAAAAATAAGAAATAAATTATTTATGTAATTGCCTAATTACATAATTACCTAATTTATAAAAATTATTTAAAAATTATTTTATAAAAATCTGTACAAAATCATAAAATAATGTATTGACTTATTAATATCTTACAAAAAATACAAATTTTAACTAATATCTCGTATCTATTCTTGAAAATATTAAAGTATGTGTCAACTATAATATTCAACTGTGATAAAGTACCAAATCAAAAGTAAGTATATAAATAATTCACATTTGCATTTAAATAACATAGAAACGAACGATATCTCGAAAATAATAACACATTGAATAAGAACATTGAACATTCGTGGCTTCAAACAGTCTATATATATCACTATGTTATCAGTTTTATAATTTAATAAAATCTGCAAAAACACACTACTCAGAACTCTCATATCACGACAAGCAATTTTGTTTAATGTATAGTGCTAGCTTGTACCATACAAAATCTATTAAGCATAATGTTACACTCTGTATTAGCAGTTTGTGTAGTATGAAAATACATCTAAACTTTCAAGGTAATAAATAAAAATTGCACGATCGATTTGGTCAGAGAGATATATGCCGTTTATAATTAGTTATCATTTGGAGTGTAAATTTTCTTCTTCATCATCGCTATAATCATCACTTAAATAATGATTATTCTGTGGAAATTCATAACGTCCTGTTTTCTTTGGTGGGGGACTGTAACATGTAAAATAACTTCATTAGATATATATGAGTTCTTATATGGAAAGCATGATTCAAACACATACCTCGTCTGATCTTCATCATTGTGGCTGCTGTTACTACTGTTTGGGCTACCGTCTCTTTTTGGACTTGCTGGTGGAGATAATGCTTGCATTAATCGGCCTTTACCTTCGTTCCAAATAGTCGACTATAAATATAAATAAAGAATTGCTATATATATCTTACATTAAAATACACGTCATATTTATATATACATATAAAAATATCAATAAGTAAATAAATAAAAAATATATAAATAAATAATAAATATTTGAAAAATATATATATTCGAAACACACACGTACCAATCTGCCTTCCCTTCCAAAGAGCAACAGGAAAGCATCAATAAAATCTCGAGATTTCTCTTCCCACTTACTTATCATATCCATTCGTTTCTCACCAATATTTTCCATTACTCGTTTCCCCTTATCTTTTAGGTCATCAAACTTGTTTTGTAGGCGGAATTTTTTCTCCTGTAAGAATTGCTATATGAGTATGTTACGTCACAATTATATTTTTAATTTCTCAACTTATTTAGAATTATCTTGTATTTTTTTTTTTAATATAATCATGTAGCTAATCATTTTTCTAAGAATGTAACGTTTGTATGTGGCAAACAAATATTATATAATAATTACTTACATTAAGAAAAGATACATTAAGTTCTTTTGCACTGTAGCCACGTGCGAGATTTCTCCTGACATATATGTCATAATCTTTGACTATTCTTGCGACTATGTCTGACGTGGAAACACCTTCTGTCCTCTGCGTGGCTACGAACATGCCTTTGGCTTTAAATTTAGCATAAACATCTGATCCATCATCTGTCATGTATGGTATATCGTCGTGAGCAACAAAGTCAATCTGTAACATAATATACAGTTCATATACATGTAATCTCTGTCAAATAAAATATATAGCATTTTATCATATTTTATATTCAAAAGCATAAAAGTATCTATTATGTACCTTGTGTCTTTTCATAAAATCATCATCAAGTTCCCAAGGTGCATCTCGAACGACTTCATCTACGTATCTACAATGCCTAACTGCATCGTACCTCTCTAAATCTGTCATTACAGTCCTTCCTTTTTTACTATGTGTTAACTCATCGTTACACACTACAAAATAAAATTAGGTGAGTATGTTATATTTCATTTTACCACTATGCGCAAGATAAATTTGTTATATTTATACTAAAAGAATATAAGTATAGAATATAAGTATAGAATAATATTTTCTTAGAGATTTTTGCATAGTTACCTCCAACAATAAGATAAACGTTTGGAAAAATATTCTTAGCTTGTAAAAGTTGCCGTGCATGTCCTTGATGAAAAAGATCGTAAATACCATCGGCATAAACTCTAATTTTTCTAGGAACTAAAAAATTAAATTTTATATATATATAGATTAGTTATATATATAGATATATTTTTGATACATACCTTTACCACTTCTTGCTTGTTTTAAAGTAATTCGTGTGTTATAATCGCATGCATTTCTCTCTGCGATAGCTTCTGGGTCATCGCTGAAAGGTGCTTCTTTACAGATTGACTAAAATAAATGAGAAAAGAATATATTTAAGAGAGAGTAAGATAATAAATATAATTATTTGATATAAATATAAACACGCAAATAATGATTTATGAGATAAATGGAATTGTTGTTTTACATAAAAATATATAGATAATAATACATCTGTATATATATTCAATAGAAAATAATTTATTATGTTCTTAAATTTGTATACTTGAGGCATTTTATATTTTTATATCATGTTTATCATTATTATTTCAATTTATTACATAACATAAAAGAATAAAACTTACTGGGAGTCTTTCCTGATAAACAGAAATTTGATCGATTGATTTAAAATCCTTTAGGAACATCAAATTCGCACTGCTACCTCCATTATAATTCTGTTGAGAGCCCCAAGTCATTGTTCTTTTAGCACAATTATATATATGTTTATGATAAAGTTAGAATTTTTATTTTTTTATCTCGAATTTTGTGATTAGTATTTTACATTAAAAGTACATTTAATATTGAAAAATAAAGATTGCACAATTGTGTTGAGAGAGCCACTTTTAAATTTTATATAATTACAAGATTTGTAAAAGAGCTTTTTGAAATGTCAGATTATATTCAATATGTTTAGATTCAATATGTTAAGACAAGCAACTTCACTTGTAGTTACCAAGCAAGACTGTCGGAGTAGCAAAGCATTTCCGAGCTTTTATCATATTAGATATGCCAATCTAGAATCACGCCAGACTATTATCAGTTAAAAAGCAATATTATCTATAGACAACACTTTTTATGTGAATTCTTTTTGTCTCTCTCGCTTTCTCTCTTAATATTATATATAATATCAGTAGATTCAATACATCAAATTTATAAACAAACATCTCACATATTATATATTTCAGTCTTACAAAATTGAATATTTAAAATATATATGTATGTTAATCTAAGTATGACATAATGCATGAATGTATACTTAAATGTACATGTGATTCAATGGAAAAGTCATCTATTACACATTCACAAGTAGTGAGTATATAGACTCCTTGGGAAAATACGTAAGTTATACAAATTAAAGTAGCGCTTGTAACACGGTACATTTCCACGCTGAATGATAAAGCCGGCTTTTCTCCCTGCTGCTTCATTCACATTTAAGATTATTCTATCACTTACAGCATGAATTGGAGAATGCTCTTTGGAGCAGGACGCGCTTTCTCCATTAATGCTATTCTGATGAGACACAGCGGCAAGCATAGTTTCCTCTCTGGTACGCTTTCTGGACATCTTTTTACGTTTGCAACGGCGTTGCCATGCAGCTTGGATTCAACTGCAAATACACAGGTGAAGACATTAGCTTGTATATAGCGAGATACGTTTTTACGCCGCGACGTTTATCGGGACAACTCATGTAAATCTCGGGACATTACACAAACGTGAGAAAATCGAACAATTCGCGCGAACGGTCGTCGCTGATGAGGACGATGTTAATTAGACTCGACTTTCGATGTTTAAAAGCAATTTACAATGATAATTACGTTATCGCGAATGGATCGCGAAGCGCACTCAATCTGCGACATCCTCGCGTCGGAGCGGCTTGCGGGCGAGTCTCGAGGATCGAAAAATCTACGATCTACCGGTCGACGTCACGCGACGCCGCGCCTGCGAGCCGCGTGGCACGCGCACGTCCGCAAACACACGTCCCGTTATGGAAAATTCACAACGCGATAAAAAAACTGCGCCGAGACGAACAAACGAGCGACGCGAGGGAGAAGGAGGAAGGAGGAGAAGCGAGAATTTCAGGATGGACACCACCCGTCCTCGTTTTACGTCACTTACATCTCTCTATAGACTCCCGTTCTGTTCGTGCGAGAAACAAGATTCTCGAGGAAAAAAAGTTGAAAAGTCCGCGACCCGTAGGTCTCTTCTTCTCTGATAATTTTTTTTTCTCGATACGACGACGGCACGGAACTCGAACGGGAAAAGATCGAGATCGAATCGTATCTATCGAACCGTAATCTCAGATTTCGCAATGCGACTGTGAATGCGACTTCTCCCAAAATTGCAACGTGTATTCGTGCGCGAGTCGCCTCGACAGCTGACCCAGCAGACGCTCGCCGCGATAGGTCTGTTCCTCAATTGCACCCTTTTGCACCGATCTTTCATCTTCTTCCCACCTGCACGCTCGCTCACCCGTCCGTCTCGTTTCTCGCGTGCAGAAAGTGTAACATTAAGTCCCGACTACGCGAGCAGAATTTGACGAACTGTTCGGAGCGATTCATTACGGAAAAAAAAAAAAAAAAAAACAGATACCTGTATAATTGCACGAATTTGTATGAAACAAAAGCAACCAATCATGGAATGGTTAATGAGGAATGCCATGTCACGGTTAATGATTGATTAATCATTGTTTCTGAATGAACGAGAGTTACTCTGTGCCCTATTAATATCGTTTCAATATCGTTAATGATCAGCTAATTCAAGAAAGTTGTGTGTGTATTATAAGAAAATATAAGTAAGCTGGTCTATATTACATGTATTATAAAATATTTAGTTTCTAACGAAGTTAAACGTCTTCTTTAATTTCTAAGAAACGTCCCGATAAAAAACAGATTCATATTATAGCAAAGCTTCTTTCGAAATCTAATCAGAAATTAAATTTAATTGTACTTTTTAAGATGAATTTAATTTAATTTAAGATCTCAAGCTCACTTTAATTTGCTTAAATTTAATTTATCTAATCAGGAGATGTATCTCTTGAAAAATTATACCAAGTGAAAATATTCTTATTGCATTCTGGATCATTATTTATGAAGGAGATGTAATAATGTAAAATATAAAAAAAAGAAAGCTTTTTTTTAGAGAGTTTGATCAATCTCTTAAATTCGTAGAACGATTTCATTTATCCGACAGAAAAACGCAAAGTTGATCTTCTTTTATATACATATAAAAAAAGAAATTTTTAAAGATAAGAGAAATATTTCATTAATTCATGAAATTGAAACAATTCAAAAGTATTATAAAATATTTTTACAACAGTTCTAAAACAATTACAATAACAAATAACTGTGATTTTTTAAACCTAGAAACAAAAAGATAATTAAAAAAATATTACTGAAGTTGCAAAATCTTTCAGTCTTTCTATAAAATTCCAAGTGCAAGAATCATAAATATTTTGCTATCGCATTATTGCAAAAACATTTTAGAATGTTTATAAAATATTTCAATTCTATCAGATGAAACATTTCTCAAATACATTGAAATGTTTTTATGCTGTGCAGATAACTTCCTCGTTGCTTGAGAAAATAATCATGTCTTGCATCAAGTCACACATAAAAAATATACTAATAATTATAATGTATTTGTATTTTAATATTAATAATAATAATAATAATTTTGATGCGAAGAGCTGAACAAATTTTACATATGAGAGATAAACGTCTTCTAGCGATAGCTGTAATATTTTCAAATATTTATTTTATGTAAAAGATTTCAGAAATAGCTCAAATGTAAGTTTTCAAAAATTATTTTTATACGTGTATAGTTTTATAAATAATCTGTTGCAATATTTCATACATGGGCATAGAGAGGAAGTTTGGAGAATTTAAACCTTCCCCTGGAAATTTAAAAAAAGATTAAATTATTATTTGATTTAACAAAATATAATATTTTTTTCACTCAAAATCAGGAACAAGAAGATATCCTAAACTCTAAAATATTCAAAAAGACAATTCGTTAACACAAAAAAAATTACTATTTATAAGTTGACAGAATTGATAAAATCTGTTCTGAAAAAAAAATCTTGGATACGCCCATAATTTCATACAATGTATTGCAAAATCTTTTGAAATGTGAAAAATGTGAAATGATTTTGAAATATTTCTGAAAGTTTTTGCAACAATCAATGAGAAACTTCGCAACGTGTGAAGTTGTCAATGTATATTATGCGTCGCTTCGCTACATCGTATAATCGTCGCATTGTCACCGGCGATCTTCCTTTCGCTTTCTCGCTTATGACGCGCACCGTTATGACATGCCATCGTCATCCCTCGAATTAATTAACTTCGCGCTAATTACCATCGGACACTTCGTCGTACAAGAACTAATTATAGAGCAACGAAATTAGTTTCAAACTGTCGCGATAACGATCGCGATATCGATGTAGGTAAAACACGTCAATTTCGCTTCCTGCGGTGATACATTTTACATTATTTATTTATTTTATTTTTTTTTATTCAATGTCTAATTGTACATATCTCCCCTATTTTATTCTAGTCGCGGCAACGAAGATCAGGACTGTTTTAACACGCGATAACGTCACTCCGAGAGAGTGACAATAGTGAATTTTCTTTCTCTTTCTCTCGTCATTAATCATGTCACCCACCCTCGCAATACAACGCGCGTGACACGTCGCTGGTGGCCGACGGCATACGGCATTCATAGTGGTGAATTCCGCATCCCGGATCTCGGAAATAGCACGATCAGCGAGTCCTTACCGTGGATTCGTGCGACCGCGCGCACAAGGGGGAGGAGAGGGCGATCTTCAAAATTTGTCAGGCGTCAAGCGACGCGACGTGCTCTAAATAGCGATATTTCACGATCGCGTGCACCAAGCGCTCTCCGTCGAGGTGGATAAAACGTGCACGCCGCGATCTCGTCCCGCGATTAAAGTGATTTATCGCGTAGGCGCGCGCACGCGATTCGATCGCCGCCGGAGGAGAGGTCCGGACGTAATTCGCGGCGCTCCTCGATTATCGCTTATCAACACTCGCGACACCGCGCAACTCCGTGTCGCGTCCGTCTTATCGTCGTAAACGAACACGTATGAGCGAACGCGGACGCGCGTGTGATCCGAGCGAGCCGAGCGGGCCGATAGAGCGGGCGCTACCCGCGAGACCAGGCGAGAGGGCGACGATGACGTAATATCGGATGATCGCCGGCGTCATGTGCGCGCCCGGCCATTCCGCATGCCGGCGTGTACGTTTACACGTATGCAACCCGGTGGAACGGCGACTTGTGAAGAGGGAAAAAGAAGTGGCACTCTCTTTTTATTGTTCGTTCTTTTCCTTTTGAGGCGATCACTTGTCGCGCCTCTCGACATTAAATGCATCTTTAAGATGCGTCTCAATTTATAAATGTCAAATATAAATAAAACACACACATATATATATATATATATATATACAATAAAATAAATATGTATATGCATATGTATATAGTGTATATGATACATGTCATATATACATCAATATACACATTATATACATATATGTAAAAGTCATATTTATCTTACTTTACATATAAATTATATTCATTTTATTAATAATTATATATGAACATAACATAATGAACATGTGAATGAAAAGTTTCGTTCTCCATACTTATGCCATTGTGCCTTCTGCAACTGAAATAAAAATATATAGATATAGATTTGAAAGAAAAAAGAAAAGGTAAAAAGAAGAAAATTTCGATTACAAACGGTAGATTTACACTCAATGGCGGATGGAAATGAGACCTTTCCATTATTATGTGTATTTTTGGTAATATCCGTTTAATCTGAATTGTCCATGATAAAGAAAAGATCTGTAGAAACAATAGTCGAACAATAGTCGCACAGGACGTATCTAGGGTACCGTACGTTGCATACAAGTGCGAAAATGCAAAGTACCGTTGTGCAAATTGCTCTCTCAAATCAGGTTTTCTCCGTTACTTCAAAACATGTGTGCGTTTTTACGTTGCCGCGCTTCCTTGCGTGCACGTCGCAAAATTGAATGCGTAATGTATTGCAAATTTATTTTCACGCATATAAAAACGAAAAAAGAAGCATAGAAGCATATCGAGTCTCTCGTGTCACCAATATTTCTTTTGAAAAAAAAAAAATATATACATATATATAAAAAAAACTCAAGATACGAATACAAATTTGAAATTTAAATTAATCATTGTAGACTAATGATAAGTGTAGCCTTTTTCGACCGTGAGCTAATTATAGACGTATGAATATATAAAATGCTCGATATCAGGCAGACCGAATGTCCGATATTTACATATCCTCATTCACATTGACCCGTCATCCTCCTGATGCAGAATATTGCAATACGAATTACTCATATAAAATGAAACAGCAAAATATGCAAGTGCTATAAATAATTGCGTTTGCCACGTCGTTGGCATATTATGACAAGACATATGGTTATTGTCTTGAAAGTCACATGTGTCGTATCTTTTTTTCTTTTGTCAACTATAAAAGTGTTTTATCTTTCGCGGCAGTCGATCGATAAAGCAATAATCAGTAAATCGATATCGTACGATATGCACAGTATTTTTAACTATTCATTCCAATCTTAACAATACGCTTATTAAATTGCACGTGGAATAATAATTAATGTATATTTCTTTTGCTGCTTCGCATCGACTATTGTACGTCACATTAGATAATTATCTTGTGTACATACAAATGTACGCGTATACAAAATAATTATCTATTCAATCTTGTGATAAATTTTATTCATTGATAATTCTAATATAAGATAAATGTTAAAACAGCAATAAGCGAGTCAGTATTTTACATGGTTATTTAAAATGATTTAATAATTTTAAGAAAAATTTTAATTAAGTATATAATGTATATAACGTATTCTACTTTCTAATGGAACAAAGCTTATAATATGCACTGGCCACATTACAGATCCAGTTTGTACATTAAAATTAAATTATATATGAATGTAGGTAAAGCAAAACGAATGATTACAAAGCTGAGATTTATTTTAGCTAATAATGATTTTAAAATAATCTCTATATAAGACTTATAATTCTCTTTTCTTCCACATTGATTTTTACTCTTTCTTTCTCTCTCGCAAATGCGTATCGCATTAAACAGTCCAGTATTGATTTTCGCTGATATATTTGCTGCAAGTATGTGCATCTTACAAGATTGTGTTGTCGATTTTTTGTGAAATAACGAGGCAGTGCCTGCCGTACATATATCGATACTTACAATCGAGTAATTCAACTCTATATTCGCGATATTTTTATATATTTTGATGTATGTACAAATAAATGTTCGTTCTTTACTTTTACTTCTCTACACGGTCTTGGTAAAAAAAGGTTATTATCTGGAGCATTTATGTTAATAGCAGCCGCGAAGATATACGAGATAAACTTTTCATCGGTGAATTTTCGATACAGTCGCAAGTATCGGAATACACATATTTTGCATAAATAAATAGTAATAAAAATAGAAAGGGGAAGCTGTTTGTAGACAGATTATTTAGGTCAGTCCTTTTTCGTTCTTGATTCCCATCGTGCTACATCAGTCGAAGGAAACGTAATGCATAGAATTTAATCAATTCCATGTCACGTCGCTTCTTTGTATAAATCCTTTCTTTGTAAATATTTTTTTTTGTATTTTCAAATAACATTTGGTTTAGGACATGAACGTATTGTAAAGTTACAGCTAAATATACAGATAAATATGACCCAGCATTTACTGTATCTAAATTAGCCGTAAAATTACACGAAAAATTTGCAGCATGTAAACAAATATTTTTTTAACGTAACTTTATACAAGAAAAGATGTTCATTATACGTCGCCATTATAATATCTGTGGATCTCGAATCTAAAATTTTTAAAACGATCCATTACGTTTCATTCAAAAGGCATTTGTATACAGACCCCAACATTGTAACACTATCGATATTACTATTAAATAACATTTACTGTATCTAAATTTAATAATAAAAATATCTAAATCACAATGTCACGCGTTCGCTTCATGGCTACGATGAGGCTTTCCAGTCCATCTTGCATTAGCTCTGTTATTTTGTCGAGACGAGAAATAGTTCGAGAATGACATAATTTAGATGTTTAAGTAAACACAATTTAGAAAGATTAATGACAAAATTATTAATTTTTTAATGTTACGTGTTTGCATAATAAAGCTACAATATGCATGTCATATCATGCAATTTTTACAAAGCCAAGATAATTTAGTATCGTTCGACTCTCAATGGCAGGAGAACATTATCGTTTGAATATCTGATTTAAGTCAACGTCATTGTTCATAAATTTTTTTTTTAATAATGTTAACCAATATGATGCAAAAAAAGTATGTATAAAATGAATTTAAAATATTTGAAGGACATATAAATAATTTTTCTAAATTCTGTCAATTCTGCAAATTCATTCATAATTAATAAAATTTCTTCCATTTTGTTTTCATTCACTGAAATTGTACATTGTAAATTAAACAGTGACAAATTCTAATTTTTTACTTCAAATGTTTAGTAACAATCCCTGATGATGAATGATAGAAAATTAATTAGTTATTGAATTATTTGATGATACAGAAATATATACTCAACAAGTACGTGGATAATACGTAGGATGCTTAAATATATTTGCATATATGTATAACTAGGCTTGGAGCGAATGTTTGATAGGTACAATATACCTACAATCTTTACGATTTCTTCGGGAGATTAATTAACGCGGGTATTTATCTTCTTTTTACTTATTACGATGTGTGAATTCAACTTAGTGTGCTAAGTGCCTCGTGAAGCGCCTGTTGTTGATCTGTTGTCAATTGCATTATGGTCGCCTGGAACATTGTGTCGTTGTTCTGGAAAGAAATAAAATTGTCATTATTTGAAACTTAACAATAAATACAAGTTGACTTTTTCTGTGCTCACCTGTATTTCTCTAACGATACTAAGAATTCTAGACATAACAGGATGGTCAGTAGGCACAGCTTCTCTGAATAATGCCTCGGCAAAGAAACTTATAAGTCGAGGCAAATGTGCATTATTTGTCCCTAAAACTACTGTATGATTTGCTTCGATTAAATCACACAAGTATCCATATACGTGAGGTGCCTCATCTTCATCTTCGACAACCGGCAGCCAAGTTAGCCTGCAAGATATTCAGAGCTTGTATTTCTATGTATTAAAATGTAATATAATTATTTATTTTGAAATATAAAAGTTTACCAGTGGGGAAGAATTTCATCGACATTAATTGCTTTATTATTATATTTCAGAATTTTAGTCACTGCTGAAATAGCATTTTCCGTGGGGTTTACGTTTTCCGGTGATCTAGACTCGGGATCGCTAATAACTTCCATTAATTTTGGTAAAGCTTCTGCACATGCTTGTGCAAAGCCTTCTCCACCGAATTGACCTAGAACTCCGCAACCATACGCTGCTGCTTGTCGAACTTCCGAAGATTTATCGGAAATGTATTCGATCATGGGTCGTAAAAAGAACTCTTGATATTTTGCACATTCAGGTCCTCCGAATTCTATCACGTCATCAAAAACACACAAAGCCCATTGATGATCCGACCATGATCTTTCAGGACTCAATAATTTTACAAAATGTCCACATATTTGATCAAAATACGGGAAGAATGAAGATTTGTATGTTGCGAATAAGGCATGTAAAATATCAGCAATCTTGCTGAGAGTATATACATCCTCATTATCTTCATCAGCAAGTTGTTCTTCGACGATCTAATCAATTGGGTATATAAAGTTAATATTCACAAAAATTTATAAATTTTTAATTTTATGTATTGAGATTTCTAACCTCGTCATAATCTTCATCTTTTCGTTTTTCCAATCTAGCGACTGCTCTGTTAAAGTGTTCATTAAGTAACTTATCTAAAAGTCGTAAAAGTTCAGTCATATGAGGTGCGCTCAAGCAACCTGCGCCTAATGTCTCAATACATTTTGCTAAGGAGGACAACAATTCCAATAACACTTCAGATTCCGGTTCTGTATCAATAGCTTTCAACAGATCTGGACAGATATATGCCCACATGCCTTCTAAATACTGTGAACCTACAAATATCGATACATACATATATGATAAAATATTTAGTGAAACAAAAGTTATGATTTTACAATAGAAGTATTAGCTAGTAACCTTTTATTTTAGCAGAGTCAAGAAGATACGGCAAACTTGCCGCAGCTGCCGTCCTAACACCATCATGGAAATAGAATTTCAACATCGGTACCATTAATCGTACCACTTCCTCGGCATAATCCGCAAAGCCTTCCTTCAATTCTCGTGCATAACAAACTAACATTTCGCATGCAGAAGCTTTATCCTCCAAACCAGCTGTTCTGATTCCAAAGTTTTGTTGCTCTCCTAATGAAACAAACTGCCAGTCAAGATCACCTTCAACACCCTCCATATCATCATTGTCCAGTAATGCAACTTCAGGTTTCATAGAAGCTGTTCGCAATACGGGTCCCATTACCAATGGTAAGTACTGTTTAAATTGTGTTCCTATAGACATACAAATAGTTTTAAGAAATTGCATAATTATAAAAAATTTTTGACAGAATTTTTTTAACATATTTAAAAAAATAAAACTTCTATATATACATATATCTTACCAAGAATCTTACAAATCCTGGCCCATGCAGATATAAGATAACTGGTTTGAGGATCATCATCAGGAAGATCACCAGATTCTTCTGAATGTGTTTTGAGTAACATATCCATAACTTCGCTAGCATCAGCAATAAACTATAGAGATTGAAAATTAGTGATTAAATTTTTCGTCTATAATATTCATATACAGCAGAAGTATTAATTACCTTTTCTGGGCCAACAGCTAGCCCTATGAGGCTGACACATTCAATCGTTTTGCCTCGTAATATTTTGTGTCGTTCTTGATTTGCATTTTGAATAATGTATTTTAAGCAAGGCATTAGCCTATCATAATAAGCCACAAACTGCTCTTCACATGTATCAGCAACAGAAGCAATCGTTGTAACAATCTGAATAAAAAGTAAAAGTAAGTAAAAAGTTAGAGTTACGTTAAGTCCTAATTTTTTTATAAAATTTTATCCATTATTTTACGATTTATTATATTTAACTTACTTGTTCAAGCACGAGCTTATTCCCCTTCTCAACTAGTTCATGAAATTTAGCAGTCAATATTGTTTCAAGTTTAGCCATTATGGCATCGAGATATGGAATTAAAATATTTTTCGGGCAATCTTCACTAAAGTTAACAAGAGCGGCACCAGCATGAGCTTGAACTCGAGGATTTGCATTATCATCTAACACCATCAATAATCCAGGAATAACCTTATCATGAAATTTCTTTTCAAATATGGGTGAAAAATCTGTAGACATTTGTCCTACTGCATTGCAGGCAGCGTACCTTACACGCGGATGCTAAAAGAAAATCAATATTTCATTTTTTCATGAAAATATGAATTTTTCTTGTATTATTTTCTATTTTACATTATATTTGTATATGAATAGAAATTGTGTGTTCCAAAACTATGATTACTACTGATAGTAATCAACTCTCAGGAACCGCAAGGAACAAATTTTACTACCTATTTTACTAAAACAGTAATACAGGAAGAATTTGTATCCTTGCTTAATTTGCCACATTTGTAACGCTGGCATATCTAAGTGAATATGACTGCCGGATTAACTTGTGGCCTATCTCAATAACACAAATATATAATCTCTAAAGAAAAAAATTCAAACTGATAGATGATATCATAAAGTAAATTTGTCATACTTACTGGATCTTGTAAATATTGTATAACACCGTCCATTATTTGTGGTAAAATCGGTTCCATTTGCTTGTGGCATCCTTCACCAACAGCTGAGATAGCCATAAGTGCTGCATGCCTACATAATGAAAAATATCTTTTTATTCTTTTAATTTAAATGTATGTATATATATTTAAATTAAAAGTGACATACATTAATACAAAATAGAGAAATATAAATCTTAATTATTTAGAAAATTGTACGTTTTTTAAGATTGACAGTCATAAACACAACTATCATATTCTTTTCTAAACATCCAATGAAAATCTAAGATCAACTACCAAAACAGCAAGTGGAAAAAAGATTATTTCATTGGTTATTCTATCACAGATGTAACGCAATTACACAACAGTGTGTAACTGCTGACTTTTCTGTGAATATATATATAAAACTAAATATATAAGAAATAATAAAGATTTTCCATATAAATATTTACCTATATTTCCAGTCACTGTTATTTAACATTGAAGGGATATTTTGCACAATTTGTGGTAGCATCGTTTTTCCTCCTAAACCACACGCTAATCTATCTAAAGCACTTTCCGCAACTACATTATTACAATCATTATCCTCCTCAACGATTTCATCAGACAAACTCCATTTTTCGTCCTCTTCTAAGTCAGTCATCATCTTCAATACCAATGGCACTAACGGTACAATGAATTTTTCACCAAGTTTTCGTACCATAGCTGGTGCAGTTTCCGCCAGAGTGACCAAAACTTCTAATGCCAACTGCCTCCAATTGTCAGGCATATCTTCATTTGAGAATACATTCATGCACATTTGCATAGTATTATCAAATTGCCCCCTGAGAAATTTCGGTGTGGTTTCAGCAAGGTCTATCAATACTTTTAGAAGAGCATCATCGTCTTGCTTTTCTATAGATTGAGCGGTTACTTGTAGAAGTGCTGGAACTAGTTCTGAGAAATGTTTATGTATATTTTCTTCTTTATCATGTAATGTTATGAACGCTCCAATTGCTCTTACTGCTTGAAATCTGACCTGTACAATGAAAACAGTAATTTTTATAATTATTCTTATAATATAAAATAAATTTTCTTTTAAATTTAAGACGAGAGAAAAAATGTTGTTTCATATAAAATGTATGCCCCGTATCTGTCTGTAAATTAATACTTGACAAGTTACAGTCATCAGAAGGCGATTTTTTTTTTGGAAGAATTACGTGACGAGTAATCTTATCTTGTCGAGACTCGTGTATCCATCTCCCGTTAAACTAAATAAAGACACAAATATGTAAAATATGTAAAAATATATTACCTCATAATTTGTCACATCTAAAACAGATTGTTGTAACATTTGTTTTATAAGATTGAGATGATTCGCTTGTTGATTTCCAAATACACCTGGGACGGATCTATATGCACATTTGTTAACTTTTACTTTTTCCATTTTATTGATAAATGTATCCTATGTAACATGAATTTAAAGGAAACTTACGTGAACATACGGAGCGCGGCTTCTTTTAATGCCGGCAATGGACTATTTGCGCATTGAAATAGGAACTGAAGAAACTCTGGCCACTGATTATTACCATCCTCGTCTATTAAATTCCTGGCAATTTCAGCTGCAATGTCACAGACTTTACGTCGAATAGGTTCTATTTGTTCATTTTGAACTGATAATAAAATTTGTTCTTTCAGCTGAACTTGCGCCTCCGGTGAAATCTATGGAATAATTATGGAATATACCAAATTTATTTTTAATTGACTTTTGATTCAAATATGGGTAATGTATTAATTTAACATATTAATTTTTTGATAATTTCTTATCAAGAAATAAAATAGTAATAATGCACAATTAAAAAAGTATTTTAACCAAAGATATTTCATATTTTATATTTCAATAATTAAAAATTAAAAAAAGCAGATATAGACACCTTGGAGTAAAAGTCCATAAATTCTGAGGAGAAAAGTCGGCGCAGTAACACTGCGGCCATGGTGCGCATTTCTTCTGCAAGTGTGCCATTGCAAATTGTAGTTAAAAGAAATGTCACCTTGCTTTCCACCGGGAGATTAGCATACGCATCCTAAATAATTAAAAGTATTAAAATACCATTAATTATCTAAAATCTTCATTATTTCATAATGGTATAAGAATATATATGACAATAATTTGTCATGACAATAATTTGTATTATCTAATATCTCTTAGAAAATTATGAGAATAAATTTTTTATTTAAATATTTGTATTTATTTACGAGTAGACATACAATAATTTTTTCTTGAAGAATATAATTTGCAATTTTAATAATAGAAACCAAATTTTATAAAAATATGTAAACGAGAAATAATATAATATGTAAAAGAGAAATATAATACCTAAAAATAATACTTGAAAATAATAGAAATTCTAAAATAGAAACATAAAGACGCAGCATCAACAAAATAGACGCCTTTGTCCTATTGCTGTATACATTGTATATCATTTACTTACAAAAAAGCTACATACATATATAATGAATATATTTGCAGATATATCTGTAGATACTAAAAACAAAGTTCTCGAACTAAATTTACCGAGCTGAATCCAATTCCGTATACGTCGAGTGCATATTGTAATCGGTACACGTATGAATATTCGATGAATTACGCTTGGCACGTGATCGTGCCGTGAGTCAAGGTGCCGTGAGTCAAGAGGCGTATATAGCGCGTTTCGGAGAGACATTAAAGTCAAGGCGGAGTGCACTGAGACCGCGAGCACGTTGCGTCGCGGGCAGAGAATACGCACGCGGTGCACGTCACGCCGATCGCCAGAAATCGCGCGTGGGCGGGAAATCACGATGCATCTCGTGAAACGTGCGTACCGCCGGATCGCGCGAAGCGGATATGAGGCTACGTCGTTCGCTGAGCGGACGGGCGGACGGACGATTCATCGAGGAGGGAACGGGGAGGGGGGATCATCGGGTAATGCGATCGACAAACGTCGGAAGGCGAGGTCGCGGGACGTGATTTCTCCGTAATCCGTCGTACACGCGGCGAGCATGACGCGGATGGCACGCGGAGCGCGCGCTGCCCGCATGTGGGACACCATTTTGGATTTCTTGACCGATCGCGCGAGGAAATGCATTGAAATTCGACGTCTGGCAGTCCCGCGATCGAGCAGGATTCACCGGCGGATGATTCGTCACGTTCGGCCTCCGATCAGCGATGAGCCGTGTCGCGTGCATCCGACGCCGGCCGCGAACACCCCGCGCTCAAACTCTGACAACACGTCGGCAACGTGTTCGGCACGAACGGAACATGCCGCGGCACGTCGCCAGGTACACTCGCGTTTTTTTCCCCGACGGGCGGCCTCGACGTCGGCCCGGCGCGGTCGCGAAGGTTCACCGACGTTAAACGTACCTCCGTCCGATCCCGGACATCTTTATCTGTGCAGTTGAGGAGTGTATTTAGAAGCTGTTGAAACTGGTTGAGATCTGCCGCCATGTCGCCGAACGAATGAAGCCAAGCGCACACTTGCCCGAGTCGATCGTCATTTCGTGGAGCCAATTGCGCGCGGCGAAATGTCACTATCACCGGTGACGTTGCCAACTGTCTACGTCTACGGCAGCGCGTTACTTAAAATGGGAAACCCATTGAATTTAATAGGTTTTGTTTACTTTACGATGAATTTAAAATCCAAAACTCCTAAAATTTACATATTTAAGTTTCACATTTGCTGTAAAACAAATTTTTTTAAACGTGTTGATTAGTTATATAATAGTGAAGTTTTCAAATCCCCAAAACTTTTCCATTTTATAACCAATTGATACGCTTAAAAATTTTGTCGACAAATAATATTTTAATGTCTATATCAGAAAAACTTAAGATTGAGATTAGATTGGAATTTGACCAATCCAGATAAAATTCACTCATCTCGAAATTGGTTTTCTTTTTTTTTTTTCATTATTAGTTAAATTGCAATCAATTTCAATCTCACTCTTTAATTTGATACTGGCTTAAGGCTGATATTTTATGTTTAGTGACAAATTTTTTGAAAACATTGATTGGCTATAAAATTTAGTAAAGATTTTTTTGAGTTTCTAGAAATTTCCTATCGCGTATCACATAATTAATACTTAAAAAAATTTGTCATATATCAATATTAAAATTTAATAAAGTTGTGTATTTTTAAAATTTTATGTAATTATGTAAAGCGATTATATCTTTTGCATTAAAGACAAAGCGCTCGCTTCATTCTTCATGAATATTCGCAATTATTTATTAAAATTTCTTTTATTTATTATTTCAGATTGTAACGTTAGAAGCGGGAAAATATACAATAAAAATTCTCGCAGGATATATTAAAATGGAAATACGTTTTAATTAAATAATACTTACAATCGATAGAACCAACGTGTAAAATATACCAAAAATTCTCCTTTTATTTCATTAATGAAGATCCATATACATATATAAAAATGAATCATGCATAACCAAAAACAAAAAAAGGCTATATTTATAGATATAACTGTCAAATTAATAATATATAAAAATAAATATGATTTAATTAAATTTCCTCTTCGAAACAAAAAAACAATTTTCGATATCTTATAAGTCTATTTTATCGATTGCAAAAATATTGTTCTGTTAACAAATTTTAAATATATTTTTTGTAAAGATGTGTGTGTGTGTGTGTGTGTGTGTGTGTGTGTGTGTG